TCTATCTAAATCCCTCTGCAGCAAAGTAATATCTTGCTCACATTGTATTGTTTTACAAAGTTTTGTGTCATCTGCAAACACTGAAACATGACTTTCAATGCGGTCTTCAAGATCATTTATAAACATGTTAAATAGAAGGGGTCCCAGAACAGACCCCTGAGGGACACCACTTGCCACCTCTGTCCAGCTTGAAAATTTACCATTAATGACAACTCTTTGTACTCTGTTTTTAAGCCAATGTTCTACCCAAGAACAAGCATTTTCATCTAGACCGATTTCCTTGAGTTTGAACACTAATCTATTGTGTGGAACTGTATCAAATGCCTTGGCAAAATCCAAATAGATCACATCCACTGCAACATCCTGATCTATACTTCTACTTACTTCTTCGTAGAACGCAATCAAGTTAGTTTGACATGACCTGTGCTTCATAAAACCGTGCTGATTTTTGCTGATAACCATGTTCTTCTCAAGGAATTCTTGAATATTATCCCTTAATAACCTTTCAAATATTTTACCAGCCACAGACGTTAAGCTCACAGGTCTATAATTTCCAGGCAAGGATTTTGAACCCTTTTTGAATATAGGAACCACATCTGCCTTCCTCCAATCCTCCGGAACACTTCCTGAAAGAAAAGAATCTTGCAAGATTAAAAACAGAGGTTCACTTATTTCTACACTTAGTTCCTTAAGTACACGTGGATGGATACCGTCAGGCCCTGGAGCTTTGTTTATATTAACTTTCTTTAGTTGCTGCAGCACCTTGTCTTGAGTTAACCAATTACAATTATTCTGCAAGTTTTAGTAGCAATCATTTGCACATCTATTGCCATGGGTTCTTCCTTAATATATACGGAGGAGAAATAGTTATTTAAAATTCCTGCCTTTTCCTGGTCTTCATTAACTAACACCCCCGTTTCAGTTTTTAGTGTACCTACACTTTCATTTTGTTTTTTTTTAGAATTTATGTACTTAAAAAATGCTTTGGGGTTGGTTTTGCTCTCTTTAGCTATCATTATTTCATTTTGAAGTTTAGCAAGTCTAATTGCCTTTTTGCACGCATTATTTGCATCCTTATATCTTTTATAAGATGCATCTGATTTGTCCGATTTAAATGCTTTAAATGCCCTTTTCTTAGTTGTAATCTCTTGTTTTACTTCTCTACTAAGCCACATTGGTTTTAATTTGTTTCTTTTATATTTATTTCCCAACGGTACATACTGAGAAATGTACCTTTGTAATATTTGTTGGAAGATGATCCATTTATCCTCAGTGTTCTTTTCACTAAAGAGTTTATGCCAGTCAATATATTGTAAAGCTTCCCTTAACTTATTGAAATTGGCCTTTTTAAAATTATATGTTTTAGTATTCCCCATGTGCTTTTGTTTTTTGAGTTTATTTCAAAGGACACTATATTGTGATCACTATTTCCCAAGTGCTCACCTACTTGAATGTTGGTCAAAAGATCAACGTTGTTTGTTAAAACCAGGTCCAGACAAGCATCCATTCTAGTTGGTGCTTGTACAAGTTGTGACATGAAGGTGTCATTTAACAAGTTTAAAAACCTAATTCCCTTTGCTGAGGCACTAGTCCCTCTGTCCCAATTTATATCCGGGTAATTAAAATCTCCAATAATTAAAGTGTTACCCAGATTTGCAGCTTTCTCAATTTGCTCAAACAGCTGTTGTTCCTCGTCAATATTAACATTAGGTGGTTTATAACATATCCCAACCAATAGTTGGTTTCCCTTCTTTTCCCCCAAGCAGATATTTACCCATAAAGCTTCCACATTATCCTCCTCGCATTCCATTTGCTTAACATTTGGCTTTAAATCATGGATGACATACAAATATACCCCACCACCCTTCTTGTTTTTCCTACCCTTCCTAAATAACATATACCCATTTAAGTTAGCTGCCCAGTCATGTGTCTCATCCCACCATGTTTCAGTTATGCCTATTATATCATATTGTTTAGTGTTTGCTAATGCCTCTAGTCCCCCATTTTGTTATTTAGGCTCCTTGCATTAGAAAGCATACATTTAATATTATGTGTCACTTGTATATTTTGTGAATTTTCAACATTACACAGCTTCTCTGTTCTGAGCTTGCCCCTGCCCCCATCTCCACCCCCCTTATACTGAGCTAATGCCCATCTCCTTTCTGTCCTATCTCCATTTTGTAGATTGCTATGACCCTCCCCCCTACTACTAGTTTAAAATCTCCTCCAACCTTCTAGCCATCCTATCCCCCAGCACTGCAGACCCTCTCCCGTTTAGGTGCAATCCATCACCACTATAAAGGTTGTACCCAATCGCAAAGTCGGCCCAGTGCTCTAAAAACCCCAAAACCCTCCTTCCTGCACCAAGACTTAAGCCACGCATTGACCTCTCTAATCTCCCGCTGCCTTTCCACTGTAGCGCGTGGCACAGGTAATATCTCAGAGAATACCACCTTGGAGGTCCTTTTCTTAAGTTTGCTACCTAATTCCCTGAAATCATTCATTAGGACCTTCCATCTTCCTCTTACTTTGTCATTGGTACCAACATGGACCATGACCGCTGGGTCATCCCCAGCCCCTCCCAATAATCCATCCACTCTGTCAGCAACATGCCGGACCCGAGCACCCGGGAGACAGCAAACTGTCCGGTTGAGCCGATCAGAGCGGCAGATTGCCCTATCTGCTCTCCTAATGATAGAGTCCCCTACCACCACAACCTGTCTTGCCTTCCTTACATTTTGATCCCCACCCGTACTAGGGGGGCTGTTAGCTCGGCTGTTAGAAGTAACAGCTTCCTCTAATACAGCTACTCCTGAGCTGATGCTCCCAACATCTTCCCTCAAACGGGCAAATCTGCTAGGTTGCACCAAATCAGGACTAGCTAACCCTTTCCTCTTCCCTCCCCCCCTGCTTCCTCGCCCCACTGTCACCCAGCTACATGCCTGTTCCCCATCTGCCTTATCTCCTCCCTCTCCACTACCTGTCCCCACTAAACTCTGCTCAGTGAGCAGTAGACTCCTCTCAAGATTGTCAATCTCCCTCAAAGTTGCAATTTGCTTCTCGAGATCTCCAATCTGAGCTTCCAGAGAAGCCACTCGCACACAACCATCACAGAGGTATGGACCCTGGATGGGTACATCCAGGCATCCATACATGCAACAAGATGTGCATTGAGTCAAACCAGCAATCTTGCTAACACTCATTTCCCCAGATACAGAACAATAAAACAATTACCTTGATAGTTTATACCCCTTGTTAGTTTCAACTCCTGTTTTTCTAACTCCTACTTGAAAGAGTCTACTTAATAGAGGCTGCTTTCAAGTAATGTGAGCAAGCTCAGTGAGTTAGGGGTGTGCCTTTATGGGGAAACAATCCCAATTTTAACCCCTTAAGACCGGAGGGCGTACTATTACGCCCTATTCTAAGCAGCTCTAAACGCCGCCGGGCGTAATAGTACGCCCTCCAGTCTTTTCTTACTTACCCGGTCGCCGGCGAACCCACACCAGCGATCGCGGTTGGGGTGACTCCCAGGGAGGCCCCTGTGGCACATAGAAACATAGAATGTGACGGCAGATAAGAACCATTCGGCCCATCTAGTCTGCCCAATTTTCTAAATACTTTAATTAGTCCCTAGTCTTATCTTATAGTTAGGATAGCCTTATGCTTATCCCACGCATGCTTAAACTCCTTTACTGTGTTAACCTCTACCACTTCAGCTGGAAGGCTATTCCATGCATCCACTACCCTCTCAGTAAAGTAATACTTCCTGATATTATTTTTAAACCTTTGTCCCTCTAATTTAAGACTATGTCCTCTTGTTGTGGTAGTTTTTCTTCTTTTAAATATAGTCTCCTCCTTTACTGTGTTGATTCCCTTTATATATTTAAATGTTTCTATCATATCCCCCCTGTCTCGTCTTTCCTCCAAGCTATACATGTTAAGATCCTTTAACCTTTCCTGGTAAGTTTTATCCCGCAATCCATGAACCAGTTTAGTAGCCCTTCTCTGAACCCTCTCTAAGGTATCAATATCCTTCTGAAGATACGGTCTCCAGTACTGTGTACAATACTCCAAGTGAGGTCTCACCAGTGTTCTGTACAATGGCATGAGCACTTCCCTCTTTCTACTGCTAATACCTCTCCCTATACAACCAAGCATTCTGCTAGCATTTCCTGCTGCTCTATTACATTGTCTGCCTACCTTTAAGTCATCAGAAATAATCACCCCTAAATCCCTTTCCTCAGATGTTGAGGTTAGGACTCTATCAAATATTCTGTACTCTGCCCTTGGGTTTTTACATCCAAGATGCATTATCTTGCACTTATCCACATTAAATGTCAGCTGCCACAACTCTGACCATTTTTCTAGTTTACCTAAATATTATATTTATTTTTTGCGTTCCTCACTTTTACTGATGATATCATCGTTATTACACGTTTTACATACAGGGGCTCGTGCAGGGTTTAGCAAACGATCAACAGAGCGGGAGATAATACATTTTAAATTAAATAGAATTTTCAATATAAGAAGTATAAACTTTAGATGACTTTTTATAGGAAGTGTTTAGGAAGTTATTGCTTATATTTATTTTTTGCGTTCCTCACTTTTACTGCTGATATCATCGTTATTACACGTTTTACTCTAGACATCGTTGTTTGTCAAGCTGCGTGCACGTGCAGAACATACGGATAGTAGTCCCTAATGTGTCTCAGTTTATTGTTTTTGGCTGGGTTAAAATGTTATATTTATAAAATACCCATTTTTTTTATAAGGGAGTGACCAGTGACCCATCTGACTCTGTATATTATTTGTATAACTTTATGATCTCACAGTAATAGCATACTGCATGGCCAGTGAGGGGGTTAATGGCTGTGTACTGTGGATAGTCTATCTCTGTTACACACTGGCAGACAGCACAAAATGGCGGACAGCAGCCATGCTGCCACCCTCACATTGCACACAAGGGGAGGGGCATTGAGCGGCTCGGGGGGCGGGGACTGAGCGGGGCCCGCCTAGCGGAAGTGACGTCATACAAGGAAGCCGCTCCTACCGGGAGGAAGAGAAAGATGTCGGCGGCGGCTGAGGACAGAGGGGATGAGGGAGGTACGGGGTGCAGCGGCTCCTCCTGCTGCCAGAGACCCCGCTCAGCGTCTCCTTCCTCGGATCAGCTGCACCAGAGCAACACCCTCCTCGGCCTGCCCATCGTCGCCATCGAGAACATCCTGAACTTCATGAACTACGATGAGATCAGCCAACTCCGGCTGGTGAGAGGATATTAACAGGGACTGGGAGGTGGGGGACTGAATACTAACTGATTATAAACAGGGACTGGGGGGGGACTGATTATAAACAGGGACGGGGGAGATATAAACAGGGACTGGGGAGATATTGCAGGGAGACTGGGGAGAAGGGACAACAGAGGGACTGGGGGACTGAATATGAATATAAACAGGAGGGACTGACATGGGGGGACTGAATATAAACAGGGGACTGGGGGGACTATAAGCAGGGACTGGGAGGGACTGAATATAAACAGGGACTGGGACTGGGACAGGGACTGGGGGGACTGAATATGGGACTGGGGGGGACTGAGGGACTGGGGGACTGAATAAGCAGGGACTGGGGGACTGGGGAAGGGACTAGAAAGCAGGGGACTGGGGGGACTGAATATAAACAGGGACTGGGGGGGGGGGGACTGAATATAAACAGGGACTGGGGGACTGAACATAAACAGGGACTGGGGACTGAATATAAACTGAAAAGGGGACAGGGACTGGGGGACTGAATATAAACAGGGACTGGGGGGACTGATATAAACAGGGACTGGGGGGACTGAATATGGGGACTGGGGGGACTGAATATAAACAGGGACTGGGGGGGACTGAATATAAACAGGGACTGGGGACTGAATATAAACAGGGACTGGGGGCTGAATATGGACTGAATAGGGACTGGGGGGAGGAGGGGACGGAGATATAAACAGGGACTGGGGGACGGAGATAAAACAGGGACAGAGATATAAACAGGGACTGGGGGACTGATAAACAGGGACTGGGGACGGAGATATAAACAGGACTGGGGACGGAGATATAAACAGGGACTGGGGGGACTATAACAGGGACTGGGGGGAGATATAAACAGGGACTGGGGGCCGGATATAAACAGTGACTGGGGGGCGAGATATAAGCAGGACTGGGGGGGTATATAAAACAGTGACTGGGAGATATATGGCAGTGGAGATATAAACAGTGACTGGGGAGATTAAACAGTGACTGGGGGAGATATAAGACTGATATAAACAGTGACTGGGGGAGATAAGCAGTGACAGTGACTGGGGAGATATAAACAGTGACTGGGAGATATAAACAGTGACTGGGAGTGACTGGGGAGTATAAGCAGTGACTGGGAAGATATAAACAGTGACTGAAGATATAAACACAGTGACTGGGGGAGGCAGTGACTGGGGGGAGATAAACAGTGACTGGGGGAAGGAGATAAACAGTGACTGGGGAGATATAAACAGACTGGGGAGATATAAACAGTGACTGGGGAGATATAAACTGAGGGACTGAATATAAACAGGAGGGACTTGGGGAGATATATCCCCATTGTAAGAGTCACTGTAAGGACTGTCAGCACCTTGGGTCAAATCATTGCTGCAGAGCTCTGCAGGTGTGAACTTCAGGGGCCAGATCCCTGTGAGGCAACAACCACTGGGAGGTGTAAACACCTATGCAAGGGAGCGTTACCGGCTGAGGACTGTCATTTCCATTGGGAGTTGGAGGCTGAGTGGCCCTACAGAGCAGTTGGAGTAATGATTGTTAGCATTTAGAGTTATGTTCCATAGCTTTCAGCCTTGATCTTAATCTCTGTAGCCAGGTATATGTGGAAAGAATATATATAGACTGTCTGTCATACATCATAGGAGAGAATAGCTAATGGGATTATTGATCTTTACTCCTGTTTGTGCATTGTATTCACTGCGCACCCCACTGAAACATTTACGCTAAAATATGCTGTGACAACAGCTAAATTGGAAAGCAGGTTTTCAGTTCACTATAAAATAACCCATGAAGGTTATTCACTACAGTTTCTAATTAAATCTGTATGAAGCAAGAAAATTCTTCCTACGTGGTCTTACCTTAGTTTTTTTACTTTTGGATTTAATTTGTGAAAATTTGAATTTATTTGATCTATATCTCTCTCTATATTGTACTGGCAAAATTACCGGCACTTCTGCAGCCAAAATGGTGTACGTTACAATCATGTTATTCAAGAATTGTCTGATAATGGAGGGGGCAGCAGCTCGTTCAGCTTAACTTTCCCATAAGTAGTGCTTGTAGCATCGTACAACTGCAGATGCTTGCTTAGAGTTATGGAATCCTGCATACGCACGTTGTATCTTAGCTTTTTAGCACTGTGCTAGCTGTTGGACTGTGAAAATGTAGCTCTGGTGTATATTCTAGAACTTGAAGTGCCAAGTAATTTTTAAGGCCTGGCTAGAAGTACAGGACTTCACATTTTTTGGGTTTACAACTAGAGGTGCTTCTCCATTGAAGACATTCACAAATCACATTCAGTGTCATCATTCGCAGAATTATGATTCCAAATACCATGAATGCTTCTCATAAAGAAGCTGTAGATTCATTGCCTCACATGGGGAATTATCTGCTTGGGGAGTGCTATGAGAGAAAATCATTGGATTGGATCAATATCTATCAGGATGAACACGCCATGGGCGGATTGGCTGTCGAGAATGTTTTGGCACTGGAGTACAGGTGAGTTTTATGGCTGTTTACTCCCCTTTTTATTTTAGGAAAGAGGATTTAATGTAAAAAGAACCTGCTGTAACAGGTGGATTCCAAATGTTACTCGCACTTTCCTGACGGTCTTTAAGGATTCTTTGTTGGATCTGACGACGTTGTTGTGCTCCGTTTTGTTCATGATCGGTGTTTTGTCTTTTGACAAGAACACATCAAGGTTAAAATATTTATTTTAATCTTGGTGATGTAGTACCAAAACAATCACAACTAGTTTTAGCTATTCATTGCCCACAGTCTTTAGTCAGGTATAATGTATAGTGCTTCACACTAGGGATGCGCCAAAATTTTCGGCCGAAAATGGGCCTATCCAATTTCGACTAAAAATGGGTCAAATCTGCCGAAAATAGGGCACCTGACGAGTGACTTGTTAGGTCCTCGGTCCATGACTGAGTACCCGACATTGGGGGGGCGGGGGGGGGGGCACCGCTTGCGCTGGGTGCAAGGCCCCTCCTGTCTGCACGGGGCGAGAGAGCCAGTGCTTATTTAGTAGATGAAGGGGACCTTAACTATAATTTAAAAAAATTTCATATCGTGTGAGTATGATCTAAATCAGATTAAATTACAGTGAAATATTCCTTTATATTAATCTGTTGTTTGCTTGACATTCTTTAAGGCTTATTCTCTAAACAGTGGCAAATTTAAAACATATTGCAAAAACTTGGCTAAAATATGCAGAACTGTTTATATTTTGCAGTTCGGTTTACAGTTTGATATAATTTACTTTTTATTGAATACCCTTCATCCATGTTCTTATGTCCAAACCTTCTTACCAGTCAATCAGTGTGTGCTGGAGGACTGTTAAAAGCAGATCTCTAATCCCCAGACACTACACAGCATGCTCCCTGGCTGTTAAGGAACTAGTAACTACTGCCTGGGGCCTACAATTTCCCCAGATGCCTCAAGACAAACGTGTTGGCCAGCTGCTGCCTTGGCGCTAAATACTGCCTAGGCAAGTCATTGAGCTCCTGAAGGGGGGTCCAGGATGGTGCCACTTTGTGAGGCCTACACTATCATTTATCTGCAATTGATTTTATCTTTCATGTTTCCTAGCCAGACATAGGCTGGAATACTCTGCATCACATACTTTTTTTTTTGTTTGTTTTTTAAATCCCAGCAAGTTTTAAAATTTAAGCAATTGTTCATACAGTATATCATATCCAAACACACACAGAATGTAACAGGGGTAAAAATAAAAAGGGGGGAGGGGTGGAAGAGAGAAAAAAAAAACACATGATTTTGATGTTCATTTTTTGACTACATTTGTTTGAACTGGACAACAAAAGCAAAAAACAAGTGTCCCTCAGTTGAGTTCTTGATCTTATTTTTTTTTTTTGTGTGTGTTCAGTTATTGGCTGGTGTCCTTATATTCTCCTTTGATCAGAAGGGGAAGGTAGACAATCCTCCTTTTTTACATAAGAAAATGTTATGGAGACAAAAGGTGTGCTCTCCCATGCCACCATCTTGAGAGAAGGCTGTCCTAAGGACTGTTATGTCTGATATCTTGGGAGCCAGACGTGTTAAGCTCTTCAGATTCCTTTGAATATAATTTACTACTTAAAATGCAGAAATAGCAATTTGAACTGTGAATTTGTACAATTGTTTTACACACTTGTGTTGTTGTTGCTCAAAAATTACGATTTATAATTTTAATACGCTAATATCACAAAGTATTACTTTACTGAGAGGGTAGTGGATGCATGGAATAGCCTTCCAGCTGAAGTGGTAGAGGTTAACACAGTAAAGGAGTTTAACCCCTTAAGGACCAAACGTCTGGAATAAAAGGGAATCATGACATGTCACACATGTCATGTGTCCTTAAGGGGTTAAGCATGTGTGGGATAGGCATAAGGCTATCCTAACTATAAGATAAGGCCAGGGATTAATGAAAGTATTTAGAAAACTGGGCAGACTAGATGGGCCGAATGGTTATCTGCCATCACATTCTATGTTTCTAAGCTTTGACAATATTCTGCAGCACTCGATTCCAAGCAGTTTTATATCCCCTTGATTCGATGTATCCTATCAAGGTTGAAGGGTCATCACTGAAGGAAAAAAAGTGGTATGAGCACCATTAAAATATTTCCATGGGGAAACCTGCCTGCACGTTTAGTACTTTGCACCACTTCTGAACTCATGTTCATGTCCAGGGTATGTAGCGTGTCGGTATTGGCAGATAGCAGTTCGTTTGATTAGTCTGTTAGATTGCAGTTAGGGATAGGTGCAGCGAGAGACAAGACAGCTGCTGTGGACTACAACCCAAAAGTCTGCCGGCCATCGTGAGTTAAAGCCCTGTGTCATCAATGTAAAGATAGAACCGAGCTGCCAGCCACACTTGTACCGCCACATTTGAGTTCCTTTATAGAGCTGTAAAACAGATAGGAACGTACACTGTGTGCAATTTAAATGAGAAATTATCGATTCCTCTTTATCAGAAGGATAAACGGAGTGCTTCGAGCTGCGGCTTATATATTTTTTTGCAAATCCCTTAAATTGCAAGTGTCTACGTGGAAGGAGATGTGGTTAAGGGGAACTTCTTGCACTAAATTTGCAGTGAGCACAGTTTGTGATGGTGGTAGAGGTACCTGTTTTAGGACCAGGACATAATTATGGTTGTAATGTCCCTTCAGACAGCTGGTGGTGGTTGATGTTGGATAAGTAATATTTGGGATCAGACTGAAATTCGGGGTACTTGTTTTGAAGAGCTGGTCAGGTTTGTCTGTTTCTATGCAGGCTAATTCCAGAATCTCCTTAATGATGTTAATGAGGTGTGTTATGACATTTATCCAGATTCCAGTACACTTGTCGGCTTTTCCAGATCAGAAAGTGACGTCTTTCTCTCACCGGATTTTATTTCCATTTTGGCTCCAGCAAAGTAAATGCTATTTGCAAGCAAGATTAAGCTTGGATATCATTTTACAGTGTTTGGAGCGTTCTGTTTGTTATAAATAAAGCTCCTGTCATAATCCAGGCCGGGTTGGGATGTCAGAATAATTTATAATCTATGGACCCCGTTCCTTTTTATTCAGATCTCTTATCACTATGCCCCAGGAAACAAACTGAATAGAGTGAGGGAATGTATTAGAATACACTGTATTTACATAATCTGTTGTCCTGGTAAAAAAACCATTGGGTTCGTGTATTAAATGTTCTTTGCTGCCTGGGAGGGGGGATGGGTAAATTAACGTGCATCTCAATGTCTTTGATTTTCTAATACCGAATGATTCTCCAGTGCAACTTGTACATGTGTTTATTTTATTTTTTTGTATGTTTTTTTTTTTATTTATACTTTTGATTTATCATGTTTTGCATTCACTGAAATATATATTTTCAGGGAATTTAAAGTGAATTTCGAAACTTAGGCTAAAATATCTGAATTAGAAAAATCACCAAAACGTTTCTGTTTGCAGTTTGGGCATTTTGACCTTAAAGGAACACTATATGGTGTTAGTGTTAATCAAACTATTTTAATAATTTTTATTTAAATTATTTTATTTTAAACGCAGTGAAGGGGGTTTATTTACCCTTCTTTTTGCACCGCATCATAGTCGTTGCAGCCGGCAGTTCCTCCTCCTTCTCGCGATTCTCATAGCAAACATTGAACCCGGCGTTATTTGACGTTTTAGATGTTGAACTTCACCTGGCAGACAAACTCTGTGGTCGCAATGGAGCACCTCTAGTTATTGTCAGACAGCCACAATATGTGTTTAGCTGTGCCGAACCTACAAAACAGCAGTGTTTTTACATTGTAAGATTGAAACGACAGGGCTGGTGCACACCACTTCACTGAAATTAAGTGATCTGGGTGCTTTTTTTTGATCCATTACAAATAAAATCCCCATCAGTTCTCCCTTTAGTGAATAATCCCGTAACCCTGTATTCACCTACCCTATGCGTGCACTATGCATGTATGCCAGTAAAATACAGTAATTTAAAATGATCCCTGCATAAAGTGTAAGAGGAAATGTGAAGACGGTGGAATAAGCAGAAACTTTTATTTCTTTATTTTAATTTGTGCGTACAGAAAGCCAATGATTCCTGTCTAGACTAAACTAGTAATGAAGACATGCTGACTAATTTGGTGAAGGCAAGTGTGGCTTGATTAAGAACACAGAGAAAAGAATGACTTGGAAAATCTATGTAGCCACTGTTTATCAAGACTGGTGATGGGCCTTTAGCATAGCACGTTTAATAAAATTGAAAAACACAGGCACATGTGCGTTTTCACTGCTCGTGTTAACACCTGTCTTGATTTAGTTAATTATATCATTTATTTTAGCCAGAAAACTGTGTGTACAGCTTTCAAACGGCTCTCCAGATTGTTTGCACTACACTCCTACATTTTATTTAATTTTCCATATCCTCCTCCTGGGAACCAAGGGGACAAAATTGTATTCCAACATGCCATCCATTTTTGATGTAAAGGAAGTTCCCAGCCTGTCACATGACATGTCACTGGAAAGCCCAGAATGTCTTCTTTACAATACAGCAGGGATTGATAGAGTAGCTGAAAAGGAGATGCACATGAATGAAATATCCAGTACAGAGGACACAAGTTAATGGGCTGGGTCTCAGGAGGATGTGTGTGTTTTTGTATTACATTTTTGTTTTATTCTGTCTCTTTTGGGCATAGGTTTATTCTTGTGCACTCTTTAATATTTGTTGAATTCACCAAGTTATGTGTATTGCGCTTGAGACCAATCGACTAGCTGCACAATCCAGTTTAATAGATTGAGCAGATAATCTTTTTCTCACCTGATTTTATTTGTTTTTTCTTAGGTTTGCAAGCGCATGGATCTGGTGTGTCAACGTATGCTTAATCAAGGCTTCCTGCGAGTGGAAAGATACCACAACTTGTGTCAGAAGCAGGTCAAATCACAACTGCCAAGGTATAGTCTGCAAATACAACAGGTGCCCCTGGGCTGGTGGACGATCTGTTTGGAACTGGCATAATGAAGTGGCAAATGAATAACCGGGTATAGAACATGGCAGCAGGATTCATTAAAGTACACAAACTTGTATGAAAAAGCAATGGCTGAATCAAATGGCAATGCAGACCTATTCACAGCTAACATTAAATAAAAAAAGTTACATTTTGAATTCAGATGTGACTGCAGGGGAATGATCTGTACACCAAAATCACTCCATTAACCTATTGTTTTTTTTATACCTTTTAGTGTCTCTTTAAAACCAGTTTTATTTACAAATTAACAATCCAGTAGAAATGAAATGGGTTTTGTATTTCATGTTTGTGTCACAGTGGAGGTCACACTGCTTGGTTTAAAACTATGATAAATGGTTGGTTTTTTTTTTGTTTTTTTTAAATTTCATTCTGTGTCCTACGTGGCAACTGAATTCCATGATATTCTTCGTATTGTGTCTGTGCAGGCGGGAATCTGAACGGCGGAACCACTCGTTGGCGCGACACGCCGATATTCTAGCTGCAGTGGAGACCAGGCTTTCCCTACTAAACATGACATTTATGAAATATGTTGACTCCAACTTATGCTGCTTCATCCCAGGAAAGGTAACATTATAATTATTGTATTATTAGGGTGCCTGTGTAAATCACTTGAATACATTCCGTTAAAGGGAGTATCTAGATTAGTATTAGTCCAGTAGACAAGATGCCAAAATACCAGAGTATTGCAGAATGCAATGATACATTTTTTTTATTGGCCTAACATAACATTTCAAAGACAAGCTTATCTTTGAAATATCCTATTAGTACAATAAAAGAGGTATCATTGCATACTGCAATAATCTAGTATTTTGGCAAAATATATATTATATTTTATATTTTATATTTTTGTTATGCAGAGATACATTCACAGGCATTTTCAATGTAGCAAAAGTTAGTGTAATGAGCTTGCACATAGACGTATACACATAGGAAGCTACGCATTTAAAACGAAATAAATAGCAATTGGAATTAGACCCATATTTTCATGTGAGAATCACTATTGTTCTTATAAAGCTCTATAAGGAAAGCTGTAGTTTGAATTATGTCCAGTAGATGGAGCTAGTTGCCTTCCTTAATTACAGCTGGCATTGTCTGCATTTGTTAAATTAATTCATTAGAATTTTTTTTTTTTTTAAATTAAAATAAGTTTATAGAACTTCAATGTGGAGTGACCGTGTGTGTCTTTGTGAGTGTTCATTGAATGCGAGGGTATGTATGTGCAGATGGTCAGTGTTTGTCTGTATGCTAGTATATAATTGAACCTTTTCCCCTACCCGTATCATTTGTTCTTACCCTGTTCATGTCACCTGTCCCTTTTTTTTTTTTTTTCTTCTCTCTATGTGGCTAATGACTGTCATTACTTTTCTTGCACTATTTTCCCCCTCCCATTTTTCTGTATTAGGAGGTGTCTCTCTTCCATGCCTTTACCATCAATTGAGAGCCTCTCTCCTGCCATCTAATGTTAGTGCATATCGTAGGGGAGTGCTTCTGATGCAGATTAACCCACCTACCTAGTGGCTCGTCATGTCCAGGAGAGGACAAACGGACGAGTTTTGTCATAGTTCAAAGTTTTCTCTACTACTTTCATTCCTACAGGAAGTCTGTGTTTTTTTTTTTTTTTTTCTAGCAGGCGACAGCAGTTAACTATTCTCTCTGTTAATTCTCAGCTAGACATTTTTATAGCTGTCGGGAAGCTGACACTTATTCATGGCTTGGGCACATTGGGTTGCCTTTTTTCTCAGCTGGGCATTTATAGGGTACAGGGCTGCTGTTCTCAGCTGGGAATCTGTAGTACCCAGGGCACTCCTGTTAATTTATCCTCTGACAATTTACTCAGAGTAAGGGTTGTTGTTGATTTATTCTCAACTGAACCTTTTGTAGCAAGCACTGGTCTGTTGGCATTTTCTGTGTTTAAAAAAAAAAAAAAAAATTTTTTTTGTGAATGGTTTATATGGGTTAAAGGTAATGAGACACTACTACTACTACTAGAGATGTGTGTTTTAGTACCGTGTTTTCCCCAAAAATAAGTCCTAGCATTTTTTTCGGGAGATGCTTCAAATATAAGCCCTAGTCATCCGCTAATCTATGTTCGGGAAAGTTTCCATGCCCTAGTGACCTGTTCAATGCACAGGGCAATTCCTCAAACATAGACTTGCATTTGATCCCCGAAATAAGACCTCCTCCGAAAATAAGCCCTAATGTGTTTTTCGGGCGGTGGGGGGGGGGGAGGGGAATTAATATAAGACCTGGTCTTATTGTCGGGAAAAGACGGTAATGTAAAATTCCCTCTTTTACTCACTAAGTCCAAATTGGACCTGAAAGGTGGTTGTGGTTAGGTTTACCATTGGGTTACGTGATGTAACAGCTTTCTCTCAAGTAAATTTCTCTGTTGCTGCATGTTGTGTTTACTATGGTTTGTGGAGTTGCCAACTAACTCCTTGATACCATTGTGTTAAAACCATGCCAGAGGGATAGAATATCTCTTAAAATATGACTTACCATTTCATTCATTCCTGCGTGGTATTTTGTATCCCTCCAATACGGCTCTCGCGTTATCTACTCTCTAGAGCCATAGAATGGTGGTACAGGTTCTTATGTGACCAGCTATGTTATGTTTTTTTTCCAGGTTATAGATGAAATATACAGAGTGCTCCGATATGTCAATTCTACAAGAGCTCCTCAGCGTGCCCATGAGGTCTTACAGGAATTACGGGACATTTCGTCCATGGCAATGGAATATTTTGATGAGAAAATTGTTCCAATCCTGAAAAAGAAGTTGCCGGGTTCTGATGTGTCGGGACGTCTCATAGGGTCTTCTCCAGGTACCCTTTTACTACTTTGCTACAACTGAATCTCAGAGCTTGCCCCCCATTATGTCCAATTACGATAGGACTTAGTTTGCCTGTCATATTTTATTTTGCTAGACTTAAGATTATGGCATTTCTACTAAACACTACATTATTCTGCCACACTTGACATTGTAGTGGAGACATAGACCACTGCATAAAACAGAATGCACACTTCAATTAAGCATGTAATTCAAGAATTTACTATTGATTTCCTTTAGTACATTTTAGTCGTCATCCACACAATTACTGAATCATCTTTCTTTGTGTCCAGTACAAAATTTCCATAACCAAATAATGCCACTTGGCTAACCAGTAATAAACAATTTAACTATATTTGTGTGTCCCATATAAAATTAAATTTTCATACATTGTTTTACAGTTCCAGGTCCATCTACTGCCCTGAGTACAATGCAGCTGTTCTCTAAGCAAAACCCTTCGAGGCAGGAGGTGACGAAACTTCAGCAGCAGGTGAAAACCAATGGAGCGGGCATGACTGTCCTGAGACGGGAGATGTCAGAGTTGCGTACCAAGGTGCAGGAGCAGCAGAAACAGCTTCAAGACCAGGACCAGAAACTTCTTGAACAGACCCAAATTATAGGCGAACAGAATGTACGCCTGACTGAGCTAGAGCATAAATTGCGTGAAGTCATGGAGAGTGCTGTAGGCTCCTCCGGAGCAGGCCAAAGGGATGACTCCTTGCGCAAGCGGAAGAAAGTAGTGGAGGTTGTGGACTGTCCTAGGAAATCAAAACGCCTACGAAGCAGAAAGTAAACCTTTTAGAAACTGCTTAGTAGCCAGAGTGGTGTTTGGCATGACCTTTGTTGAGAGCACTAGTGAAGAGGTCAAGGTGCTCCTGAAAAAGCTCTGGTATTCACCTCCCTGCCCAGTTCTAAACTGCCCCATAAAATGGGCTCCTGGCAGGTTCCTCTGTTTGCCAGTTTAATTTTGAAGCCATTGGGAGGTAGGTTAAGCAGTAGCTTAAAGACATGAAGACTGTATTTGTGAGAAGACTGCACACTCCTTAAACAGTAGTTTGATACTGCTACCACAACATGGTTTATATAAATATATATATTTAAAAAGTTTGGAGAAAATGTTAATAGGCATGCAAAGTCCAAATGTTTCACCCATTAGGTCAGTTACTATATTTAATAAATCCAGTTTAAGATATGCTCTCCCAGAATATTTAACCATTTTAGTGGCACCAGCTCTCAAACCTGGGGGCAGTGTTAATCCTGCTTTGAAGCTGCTTCTATTTAAGACGATCTAAACACTACTGTTTCTGTTAATCGGGTTCCCAACAAGCCAAATAAACGTAGAGTCTGGTCACAGACCTTTATGGAATTCAAAGCTTGGCAAACACAGGTTTGAGTATTTGAAAATGTTAAGAACCAGAGAGAAAAATTAGGTATTTAAAGGATGCTTGGGCTCACCCTTCATTCTCTTTCTTGCGTGCAAGTCTGGGGTTAATGAGTGCTAAACTCAGGCACACTTTGATAAACATAATGCCAAGTGATGATCTAGATCTGTTTGTGTTTTTCTGGTAACTCCTGAATGTCTTTTTCCCAGCTGATCGCTCTTGTAAGATCACATTGTTTGATTTGGCAAACCTTGTGTCCCATCCATGTTTTTCCTTTCAGTCGGTCACTGGGGTGAAACGCTGTCCACAAATGCTACACTACGTTTCTGTTCAAAGGAGGGGGCAAATTCCTTCAAATCAGCTGATCACAGTGGAGCCAACTGTTGTATAAAATCGCTTAGACTTGAATTGTGTATACACAGAACATGTATAACCCCTTAAGGACCAAGCTTAATTTGCCTGTTTTTCCTCTTAAAGGAACACTAGTCACCATAACCACTACTGTTTAATATAGTGGTTCTGGTGTCTATAGCCTGCAGGCTTTTCAATGTAAACACTGCCTTTTCAGAGAAAAGGCAGTGTTAAAATGTTTAACTAGTAACTTCTGAATGATTGCTATTAGAGGTAATTCCTTGTACAGTAATGGCGTTCTGTGTCTCCACGCTTTGCATGGAGATGCTGAACATTGCCCCATAGAGATGCATTTAACTCCATGCATCTCCATGGGGATATTCTGATTGGTGCAGTGGTTTTGCCACGCATATGCTATAACCATTGGTTATCTTTACGATTGATCTCAGCCATGGAAGTGGGACCAGCCGCAGCAAGCCTGGCATGGCGTGGCGAAAGCTTTTTGGCATGATTTAGAGAGGGGGTCACTTAAACACCTGACACTATAGTTTTCCTTTAAGGGGACACTATAGTCACCAAAACAACTTTTTTGCTTGATGAAGCTGTGTTAGTGTATAGCTCATGCCCCATGCTGGCTCACTGCTCAATTTTGTCATTTAGGAGTTAAATCACTTTTGTGCATGTTTATACAGCCCCCTGTAACTGACACAACCTGCATGAAAGTTAAATATTTCAATTTATATATGTGTATGTATATGTATGTTAACTTACTTAAGAAGTTTGTATCCCCTGCTTTGTAAATTGACCTTTAATTACACAAGGCTTTTGCTGGGCCTACCAAGCAATTAACACTACAGGAGGTAAGAAATTCTAAATTAAACAGAATTTGCAATAAAGGAAGTGTAAACATTCGATAATTCTTTACAAGAAGTGTTTAGGACGGCTGTGCACATTACTTGCAGGGAAGTGTGACTAGGACTGCATAAACAAAGTGATTTAATTCCTAAATGGCAGATAATTGAGCAATGTGACTGGAAGGGCATGATCTATACACCAAAACTGCTTCATTCCGCTAAAGTTGTTTTAGTGACTATAGTATCCCTTTAAGGACCAAAGCAATTTCCATCTTTCATTTTTTGCACTAACACACATCTACTGTTCTTAATGTGCAAAAAGGGATTTAATTTGATGTGACATATACATATATACATTCTCATTTATTATATAAAAAAAAAAACGGTTTGGCAATACTAATGTGTGCATAATTAGTGTAGCTTAAGAAAAGTAATTCAAAATAAATTAATTTATTTGTCTTGATTTACAGAGTACATCATATGTCTGGAATTTCAGTTTTATTTTTTTGTAATTGTAGGTCACAAAATAGGAGTAAAATAATTCAATGTGGAGAGATTAGACGGTTTGCCTGTAAGCTTAATAGCCATCACAAAAAATAAAATTGCCACACAAACGTATATAGGTATATGAAGTAGACATCTCAGGCTATTTACCGAAGGGTATTGTGACACTTTTTACCTAGCCATTTAACTGCCAATCGCTAAAGTGTAGTTTATATATTTATTATTTTCTCTTTTCTGATTTGTAACATACACACATTCAGCAAGGCTGCTTTTTTGTGTGTGTGTGTGTGTGTGTGTGTGTGTTTCCTGAACATGTGTGCTACTCCTGCACAAATCAATGTATGGTATTCAGCTACACCTTCTGAGTACAGTGATACCCCCAATGTATTCAGTGGACACACTCACGTGAAGCTAAAGTACCATATAAGAGACACGAGCATTTCAGTTTTTACAGTTAGAATTTTGGCTGAGTTTGATGGGTCTATGTTTTATTTTGGGACACTATAGCAGTTTGTTCAAATTACCCAGTTGTGAAAGTATACACTGTATAGAGTATATCATATTGTGCCTCAAAATGTCACCATCTTTCCACCATTTAAGTTTAATTAAGTTTCTAGAATTTTTATTTAATTTTTTAACATGCATATTGCGTTTTTGCTAGGCTTTTATTTATTTTTTTAATCTGATGTGTGCCGCTGTGATTAAAACCCCCACCAATTATGCTCTGCTACATTTTGGGTACAAAGCTACACCCAATGAATGCCATAGACTCCATTGTTAAGTTACAGTGCCATTAAGTGACCACACCATTTCAGCTTTTTAAGTGTGAATTTTCAAAGATGGTGTTGGTGTGTCTTTGTCTCATTTTAGAGCATTCTAGTTCAAACATCCTCACGTAGGCCTACCATTTCTTAACGAAGACACCTCAGGGTATCTCAAATAGCATAATTTGATCCGTGTCACAAGGTCATGTAGTGGGAATAACATATATATATATATATATACTTTGACACACTCATTAAGTTTTTTTATTGCATATTTTGTAATCCTTATGTGAGCTACAGCAGTATAACACCTAATATGTCTTTCAGCTATGTCTTCTGAATACAGCAATACCCCCATGCGTTCCTTTGAGTGTGTGTGTGTGTGTGTGTGTGTGTGTGTGTATATATATATATATATATATATATATATATAAAATATATGTGTGTGTATTAGTGTTTAAGGGACGAATATGAGACAGCCATTTATAGGTGTTTTTCAGTTGTTTTATTTTATTAAAATTTAGATCCTGGCTCTATGTACCATTGTGTAGCATTCCAGCAGGTTGCTTGCTCAAACCATTACATATACCATAATGGTATCTTCTTTAAGATATGGTATCTCAAATAGTATATTTTGATACTGATCATGAGGCCATTGTTTTTGTAAAATTTTTAAAACATTTCAGCAGAGCATGGTTACAAACTACTCCACAAAGGCCACATCTATTTTAAAATATAAGCAGCTTGTCAATTCATATTATTAACAAGAGCATATAATTTTCTCTAGTCTATACTACAAGTGTTCAGATGTTTTGTAGGGACATAAAAGCTTTAAGACTTCTGATTTAGGTTGGAAATTACAGGGCAGCTTTTAAACAATTTGTCATACTGTGGATTAGTTCTTATTAGTACTCACTCGCTATTATCGTAAATTTTTTTATAAACTGCAGTAATGGTTCACATCTGCATATTCATAGTTACTGGGGGGATGGGGGTACAGCAGATAAGATTATTTGTCTAATACAAGCAAAATAGGCTTTGCTATGATCCTCATTAACATTGTATGCCCCCAGAATCGTTTTAATTCAGGTACTTTGGTTGGGTACCATGCTACTTTTCTTGTAGTAAATGGTTGAGCTTAGAGATTGTACAACTTAAATCCTGAACTGTTAGGGGGTACTTGAGGACTGGATTGGGATCCACAGGACCAACTGCATAAATCCAGTGGGCCACTGCTGGTCACATCAGCCAGTTTGCCTTTAGTTGTACTTCAGATAAAGATGTCAGGGGTAAAATAATGGGAGAGGTGTCCAGTCACCTGCTCCTGCACCTTGGGCAGCATCAGGGTAATCCATACTTGTTTCTAGGTTTGGCATATATTGTCACCTGTGTCACACCCTGCAGCACTACCTGTCGCTTCTGAATCAGACACAAAAATTGTGTACGCCTTCAAAGTATTTTCAGACCGAACCTTAACTACAACTAACCAACCTTTTTTAAACTTTTTTCTTTCTTTTAACTTCTAACTAATCTAACACTACATTTCCCCCAAATACTGTACACCCTTGCTGAGTAAATGACCAATTTAAAATTTAATGAAATTAGAAACTAAATGTAACCTATGAGGGTAAATGAAACCGATCACAGTAAAATAATGTGATCTGTATTCTGCTCATTGCTAGCAGTGATCAAAGGGCAGCGATAGCGTAAAATTTGGCTTTATGGGCCTGAAAGGAGTTTCCATTTTACTGATCCAGTTTAATAACGATTAGCACAAACAGTACCTCTCTGATCTGTCTCTCCACTTTTACAACTCACAACAAAGTGAAGGGAAGTGTAAGTACATGATGGAATTATTCTGTAATCGGTTCTCTAGGTACAGACTGCCATGACAAAATAAATCTGTCATTGGTCCTTAAGGGGTTAATGGTTTTGTTTTTCTCTGTTGCAACTCTTCTGTCTGTCTTTTTGTTTTTGGTACAAACCACATTTTCTGCCCTAGAATATTCTATTATGAAATCGTCCCTTTTCATTCTCTCTGTAGTTGCGTCATTTTGCCTGTAGTCAAGACCGCTTATACCTAAATGTCAATGTATTGTACATATGTGCAGTGCTAGTTCATGGGGCAACTTTGTTCAATATTTATTGCTACCCCTTTGTGAAAATAGGAACTGCATATATTTATTACCATACTTCAATGCGTAAACACACACAGATGTTAAATAATACACATTTATTTATTTTCTAATAAACTTATCCTATGCACAGCAGTTCTGAAAGGCTGTTCGAACAATACTCTCAAAATGCCATACATCCCCTGGAAGATCATTAAAAGGTCTATTTTATGAGTGTATTTATCATTTAGGTAACAACTCATTTACACCAACAAAAGTCAGATGGCAAATCCTTGCACCCTGCTAGCTTGGCCTTCACCAAGGCAACTTCTGTTCTAATTTGATCTTCAATATGTGTTCAGTAAATAACTACTGGCTTTCTATATTACGCTCACGCTCCCATGCAGTATATTTTCTTGCCCCTACAATGTTTTGCAGATCATTTAGTTGTTCAGGCATAACTTTGGGCCAAAAGGGGGGTTTGAAATAATATGCTATTCTGAAGGGTACATATTGCACTTAAAAAGAACAACGTTAATTTGAATAGTGTGATACTAGGTGAATAATTACTACTCATCAAGTCAGACTTTGTTTTCCTGGCTTCCACTTAGCACGCTGCTGAACTTTGGGAGTAAAGATTCAGGAACCAGTATTTTTCAAAATAATTCCCCTCCCCTACATACACAAACATTTAGAATATTATTACCCGTGATCTAAACTGAGATACTCCTGCAGTTGCATTTTTTGTGTGTGTTATAAACCTTGAAAGCAGATCTTGCCTCGTCTGTATGTTTCTTGAATAAAGCGGCGTGTGCTACGTATGGACGTGGTAAAATGTCGCTTTGGAACAAATTCTGTACGTTTTTATCTACAGATAATCATTGGCGTTGTGTAATTTCACTAGGTGAGGGTCCCACATCGAAGTGGGATAGTAGACCGCTTTGGTAATTGTCCATCAGTTCCATGGTAACTCGTCTTGACCTGCAGGTATTTTACGAACTGTATTTCTTGTAACTCTCAGTGTTCAGATATTACCAAGATCAGCCACCACTGTGCTGCACGACTATGACACCGCTACGTTTTATCATCAGCAAGTGAGACTTTTTGTGAAGTGAAGCCAGCACACGAAATCCAATTAAAGAAATGCTATTACACCAACTGTAATAGACGACGGTTGTTTTTTGTATATGATGTATTTCTCTTTAATGCAAACTGCCACAAGATGGCAGCACTGCTGAAAACCCATCAAACTATAACATAGAAACATAGAATGTGATGGCAGATAAGAACCATTTGGCCCATCTAGTCTGTCCAACTTTCCCTGACCGGGAATCGAACCCGGGCCAAGGCGGTGAGAGCGCCGAATCCTAACCACTAGACTCACTACTCATACTGCAGCTATAAGATGTTATGACTGTGATTATGAATAATGACAAAATAATGGAATAATCTCTCAAATCCAATACATAAATTGCAAGCATTTGTGTATAAAGCTATAGCTGAAGTCTGCTTGCACATACTTCCCATGGTGGTAGCAGTCCTTGTTTGGGGCTAAAATAATTTTATGTTTTTAAAGCAATACTTCATGCACCATAACCCTATGGTGCCAGGAGGGCACTGGCGTCATCTAAGGTTAAGTAGTCAAACTGTTTGCGAATGGCCTGACATTTGACTTGTGGTCTACTATCTTTTAATCGCAGCCTAAGCTGGAGATCAGCTGTAGCACAGAGCTAAGTTCAGCTGGCACTGTTAGTCAATGAGCGGGCCCTGCATGTGGAGCTTATGGAAGCTCCTAGTGGGAGCTTTTGCCTTTCAGAAGAGGCTGTTTCCAGCAGACCGCAGGTAAGTTTGCAAGTGGTTTGATTACTTCTCCTTTGAGAGCACCAGGGCACTCCTGCCAGTATAGCCAGTACAGTGCTGCAGGAGTTGTATTTTTTGGAGTGTTCCTTTAACATACAACACCCCTATGTTTTCTGGCATATATTCATTTTTGGAAGGGTCACACTCATTGGTTGAGGGTCTCGGCTGACTGTTTTCTGCCAATAAGAGCGGTCCTGTGTTGGCCTTTCTATGGCACCCTGGGATCCAGACCTATTCTCAAACCATTCTAAAACGCTGTGACAAATTAGATCTGGAGGGCAGCAGGGAACTCCTGCCTCCATAACCATTATAGTGAGCTTCAGTGATTATGGTGCCTTCTTTACCTCTAGTATCCCCTTTTTATGTTGTGCATTATGTTGGTGCTATATAAATTATAATAACCTACCCGCATGCAGCAGGGTTTGTTTATATAAAACTGTAGTATATGTAATACGAATGATAATAAATGCCAAATGACAGCCAGACAGGAACTGAATTATTCTGAAAACTGCCTTCTAGATTGCAGATACTGACTTTGGGTTTGGTGTGGTTGTGGTTCCCATTCTATTTTTAAAGTACTACTGGCGTCAGTTTTTCACTTCTCGTTATTTTAACGTTTATCACATTTTATTAAACTTCATAATATTGTTAGATGATGCATTTCAAAATATCACTTTTTATCTACGCAAGCAGCGGTGTTGGGTCAGACTCTACTGCTGTCTGACCAAACTGGTGCTCAACCTCACTTGGCTGCTGTGGTTGCTCTGTGTGAAACTGCAGGAGCGGGCTGGCTAGATTGAGCAGCAGTTGGTCAGATGACAGTGGTATGCTCAGCCAGATAAAGTTTCAATAAATGTGATAAACTTCTGAAAAGTTAAAATTTGATGACCGTTTTAAAGTAGTTTCTGGTAGAATGTCTGTCCTGGTTACATTATCAGCTTGACTCATTTACTAAATCAAAATTACTATGCTTGACTTATGTATATTTTTTAAAATGTAGTAGGACCACAGCAAATGATTTTACTTCATGTCCTCTGTGTTTTGGAATATTACGTGTTAAACGCCTGCACTGGACCTTTCCAGCTCAGTGTTAGTTTGCAGGTTACAAATTGTACTTGTTTCGACTCCGTACGTGGTCACGGCTCAACATACTCTGCGGTATGTGTCCTGTAAACACTGCTAAGAAATAATCTAACCTTCCAAAACACAGCAAATATGAAACCGTAGATTTGACAGATCACAAGCCAAGTTTTGCCCCTCATCTTACTAACGGCAGGCAAATAAAAGGTTAAAAAATGAAGTGGATTTAGGATTAAGTTTGACATTTGTGGAATGTTAGCTCTGGTACAAAATCCATTTCCTCCATCCTAAATATTTAAAGATATTAAAAAATACCTTCTTATATTTGGTAATATATAGGAAAGTTGGAAACCACTGGTAACGGGTGTATGAATAGAGGTGTCATCGTGAAGAGGAGAGGGAGCAAAATATATCCAGGATAAATGTTATGTTGAAGAAATAAATAAAAAAAATTGCATCAGATCCTCAAATTTTGACATCAAACTCAGGATCAGTCAAACCGTAATCAATCAATGTTTTGGAAATGCAAGCACTTTTATGGAAATATTAAAACTACATAATATTCCCCAAACAATATCCCACCCCACCTTTACGCTGTCCTAGCCCCTCTCTTTAGCTAGTATTGACAACAGATTCATCAACGAATGTTATTTTTGAATGGTCATCAACTAATGGTATTTCTGATTGACGTCTCGGCAGAATTCAGAAGCTATAAACTGATCCGATTGTGACCTGCAATAAAACATCTTAGATATCATTCCGATCAGAGGTTTTCCTAACCCTATACTCTGTTTGCTGATCCAGTAAGTTAACGTACACCTTCCAATCCAGGAAGAAATTATGTACATTGTATTTCTTGATTGTTGATAATGCTTGTCCCGTGGCTGCGGAGCTTGTGCTGAAGTTGGAGGTATATTTGGCGACAGTGATTTTAAAAAGTTGATTAAAGAAAGAAATTGGCACAATGTTTTTTTTCTTTTTCTAAATTCATCCACCGAACCTGGGCTTCAACTTAAAGGAACACTATAGTGTTAGGAGTGCAAACACGTGTCTTGCCACCTTTATAGTCCCCTCATTGCCTTGTGAGTGTTTGAATGGTTTTACTTATCTTTCATGCCTAGCGCCAGTCTCCACGATTGCGCTACGCCTCTTTGGCTGAGATCATCCAATTCAATGTTTACCCACAGGGAAACAAGAGGCTAAGAGACTAGTACGCTTGTGCGGCAAAGGTCTCTTATGAGTTAAACTAAGCTATTGAAGGCAGAAGTGCCTCTGGTGGCTGTTAAGAAGGCAGCCTCTAAAGGCATGTAAACCCCACAATGTAAACACTGTGTCGCTCCTGGGTTCCAGCCTCTGATGTCCATGCACCTTCCCTCCTTCGTTCCTATCACGCCCACTTCCCCATGAAGCCTGGACCCACCAGCAGGGATGGGGGGGGAGTCGTTGAGGAGGAGGTACTGTCAGGGTTTCTTTGCTGTTTTAAACAGCAACCCTTCCTTTCTCAATGTCTGAGTTTTCAGCTGAGATTAACGATCAGCTCCTTCTGCTAATCAGTGCAGCCTATTTAAGTAGCTAATCCCAGTACCTCCTTGCCCTTGCGTGGTTTCCTGTTCCCCAGAAGTCTCCTTGTTCATGTGTTTCCTGTTTGTTCCTGGTTCCTGACTCTGGCCTTGTTCCTGTGTGTTCCTGGTTCCTGACTCTGGCCTTGTTCCTGACTTCGCTGCTCTCCGTTCTCCGGATCCTGGCTCGTCTGACTACCCGCTCTGGTGACTGACCCCTGCTTGCCTCCTGGACTTTGCTTTTGGTTTTCTTTATTTGTTATTTATTAATAAAGGTGTTTTTGCATCTAGTTCTGTCTCTGTCTGGTTCCTGGTCCCTAACACACTGCTGTGTTTTCAGTTGCAAAGTAAAAAAGACAGAGAGAATGTACCCAGACCACTTCATTGAGATGAATTGGTCTGGTTTCCTATAGTGTTCCTTAAACCCCTTAAGGACAAAACTTCTGGAATAAAAGTGAATCATGACATGTCATGTGTCCTTAACCCCTCATCGGCATTTTTGCATTGCCGACCGGTGATGGTCCTGAACCATCCTAACGGTCAGATGTACTTACCCGATCGCCGTCGTTCCCCCGGCGGCGATCGGCGGTGCTCCCGGTGTGGGGAGACTGCCTGCAGCCCAGACAGTCTCCCCACACTGGATTAGGACCCCTGGGGCCATGTGATCGCTCAACAGAGCGGTCACATGGTCACAGTAGGTGTCCAAGTGTCTTCCTGCAGGGGGACTGTCTGTGCTGACAGGCAGTCTCCCTGCTAGGGTAAAATAAAGGTTAATATTAATAAATACAAATATTATTATATATGTGTGTATATATATATATGATATACAGACATATATTATATAAATATAATATATGTCTGTATATCATATATATAATGTCATGCTAAGTGTATTTTTATATGAATATGTACATATATTAATATAAAAATACACTTATAATTAAATTACACACGTGTATATATAATATAATAACTATATATATATTGTGTATATATATATATATATATATATATTATTATAAAATACAAATAAGTAATTTAAATTAAATAAAAAAATTATACATCTATATGAAATTTTATTCTAACTGTATTTTGATATTAATATATATTTATATATTTATATTAAAATACACTTAGAATGAAATTGTATATATATCTATGTATATATAAATAAATAAAAATAATACGAAATATACATATGTCCATATACAAAATTCCATAAATAATTATATAAATATACACGTAGACTTCAAATATATAAATATGCAAATATATTTAAATTCTACATGCGTATTTATGTAATATTTTTACATAATTAAGTAATTTTATTGATTGCAATTTGAGGGACCTGCCTGCCAACCCAGGCCGAAAGTCCAGAGAATTTAATTTGCTAGCACTGTATTTCACCCTGTAACGTTCTAGGACACCCTAAAACCTGTACATGGGGGGTACTGTTTTACTCGGGAGACTTCGCTGAATACAAATATTAGTGATTCAAAACAGTAAAACATATCACAGCGATGATATTGTCAGTGAAAGTGACTTTTTTTGCATTTTTCACACACAAACAGCACTTTTACTGATGATATAATTGTTGTGATACGTTTTCCAGTTTTTAAACACTAATATTTGTGTTCAGCGATGTCTCCCGAGTAAAACAGTACCCCCCATGTACAGGTTTTATAGCATTTTTGAAAGTTACAAGGTCAAATATATGGGTCAAATATTTTACATTGAAAATGGCCAGGTTGGTTACGTTGCCTTTGAGAGCGTATGGTAGCCCAGGAATGAGAATTACCCCCATGATGGCATACCATTTGCAAAAGAAGACAACCCAAGGTATTGCAAATGGGGTATGTCCAGTCTTTTTTAGTAACCACTTGGTCACAAACACTGGCCAAAATTAGCGTTCAATTTAGTTTTTTTACTTTTTTCACACACAAACAAATATGAATGCTTACTTTGGCCAGTGTTTTCGACTAAGTGGCTACTAAAAAAGACTGGACATACCCCATATTGAATACCCTGGGTTGTCTACTTTAAAAAAATTATGTACATGTGGGGTGTTATTCAGAGATTTATGACAGATAATAGTGTTACAATGTCACTATTGATACATTTTAAAAATGTATGTTTTGAAACCGCAATATCCTACTTGTACTTATAGCCCTATAACATGCAAAAAAAATAGCAAAAAAGCATGTAAACACTGGGTATTTTTAAACTCAGGACAAAATTTTGAATCTATTTAGCAGTTTTTTTCATTCGCTTTTGTAGATGAGTAAAAGATTTTTCAAGTAAAAGTAAATAAAATGTATTTTTTTAAATTTTTCATCAAATGTACGACATCGCAAAAACAGTCCGGTCCTTAAGGGGTTAAACAATTGTAAAGACTGGCCCTGTAGTTGTATTAATATCTGGTGTTCCCAGACTGGAATTGTTTTTGTGACTGTTTAGAATCTCGGATGAAATCCAAGAGAGACATTTTCACCAAATATGGGTATGGAGTGTTTAAAGATTTTATTTTTTGTTGTGTTACTATTAACGTGACCAGATACACTACTTGTGTGAAGATTGCCCTGTTAGTACAAGGGGGATAAGGGATTGCCTTGGTCTAGGCTGAAGTCATAGTACAGCCTCCATACACCCTTCGTAGCTGGGTTCTAAGTAAACACATATTGGCCAAGAGTCAAGGATCTACTAGGCCTGGCCACATGATTAAACTGCAATGGGTGAACAGCATTCCCCAGTTCTATTATTAACTCATAAACCAAATCCACTGAGAAAGAAAACAGGTCCAGAGCAGTCATGTCTGCTGGTAGCTAAATCCTGGAACTGTGAGAATTTAATCTCCGGAAGGGTCAGTTCAAATGTTAATAAATTAGTTCTTACTGTTTGTTTTCTTCGCCTCAGTTCACATCTGAGACACACAGAACAAAATTACTGCTATTCGCCTCCAGTGTTTTCCCGTGAACTTTTTAGTTATGAAAAAAGTTCACGTTAAAAAACAAACAGTCATGTGGACGTGGAAGAAAACCATTGTTAATACACCCGTATATGTCAGGACTAAAAGAAGTGAACCAAAATAAAACGTCCATGTGCTGTTGCCCCAATGGTGGTTATAGATCAGAATATGCAGAGCTACAACCTCGAGTGTCTGTCACAACACATGGCAAGGTGACTGACAGTGGAAGCATTATGAACAATGTACACTGATGGATATGTTAAATGACATGCTGGGGGTTTATCCATGTATGACATTTCATACATGGAGGAAGTCCCGCACCCAGGCAGACTTTCTCCATTATAGATTCATGTTGCTTTCATACAGCACAGCCCTCGCCCTCGCCAAACAGTCATACTTTTCCTCTCTCATTAGTTCATGCTCCCGCAATCCCAGACGTCTCTTTGACACCTTTAATTCCCTTCTCCGCCCTGCTGTGGCCACCCCCCAAACTAACCTTACAGCTGATAGCTTTGCATGCTACTTTACCGACAAGACTGAACAGCTAAGGAAACAAATCTCCCCTCCTTGCCGTTCTCTTTCTCAACCACATGTAAATCTTGCTTTCCCTACCCTCCAGACTTTCTACCCGGCTACTGAACAAGAGGTGGCTGCGCTTCTCCATTCCTCTCGCCCCACCACTTGCCCGCTCGATCCTGTCCCATCTCACCTCATCAGATCTCTCTCCCCTTGTCTTGTGCCTACCCTAACACACATCTTTAACTGCTCTCTCTCTTCTGGCACTGTTCCTGCTGACCTTAAACATGCCACTGTAATACCTATCCTGAAAAAAACATCTCTTGACCCATCCTCCCCTTCTAACTATCGTCCCATATCCCTGCTCCCTTTCTCATCAAAGCTTTTGGAAAGACTTGTCTTTACCCGTGTGTCTCGCTTCCTTAATTCCAACTCTCTCCTTGACCCTCTTCAGTCTGGCTTCCGCCCTCTCCACTCTACTGAGACTGCTCTCATCAAAGTGACTAATTACCTAATCTCCGCTAAATCCAAAGGTCACTACTCCATATTAATTCTCCTTGACCTCTCTGCTCCCTTTGACACCGTTGATCATGCTCTCCTCCTTCAAACTCTTCAATCGCTCGGTCTCTGTGACTCTGTCCTCTCTTGGTTTTCCTCCTATCTCTCCCAACGCTCATTCAGTGTCTCCTTTTCCAAGGATACCTCCTCCCCTCGTCCTGTCTCGGTTGGAGTTCCCCAAGGGTCTGTCCTTGGTCCCCTCCTATTTTCTCTTTATACTGCCTCTCTAGGTAAACTTATTGCCTCTTTTGGATTCCACTACCACCTGTATGCTGATGACACTCAGATATACCTCTCCTCCCCGGACCTCTCCCCTGCCGTCCTGCAACGTGTCACTGCTTGCCTTTCTTCCATCTCTGACTGGATGTCCTCACGCTTTCTGAAACTTAACCTCTCTAAAACTGAACTCCTTGTCTTTCCTCCTCCTAATACTGATCCTCCTCTCTCGCTCTCCCTTCAACTCAGTGATATCCACATAAGTCCATCCCTGCAAGCGCGCTGTCTTGGCGTCATACTTGACTCTGGTCTCACCTTTGAGCCTCACATCCAGTTTGTTGCCAAGTCCTGTAGGTTCCAACTCAAAAACATAGCCCGCATTCGCCCCTTTCTTACGCAAGATGCTACCAAGGAGCTTGTCCATGCTCTAGTAATTTCCCGCATGGATTACTGTAACCCTCTCCTGATTGGTCTCCCCAAAAGCCGTATTGCCCCGCTACAGTCTGTCATGAATGCTGCGGCTAGACTGATTTTCCTCTCTAGTCGGTCCTCTCACACCTCACCCCTCTGCCGGTCCTTACATTGGCTCCCTGTATGCTATAGGAGTCAATTCAAAGTGCTAACCCACACATTTAAAGCAATGAACAATTCTAGCCCTGCTTATATCTCTTCACTGATCCATAGATATGCCCCTCCTCGTACCCTCCGCTCTGCCCGTGACCACCTCCTGACCGCTGCTCGCACCCGTACGGCCAACTCGCGCTTGCAGGACCTCTCGCGGGTGGCTCCTCTCCTATGGAATAGCTTGCCTACTGCCATCAGACTCTCCCCTAGTCTTCAATCATTTAAGAAGGGCCTTAAAACCCATCTCTTCAGGAAAGCTTATGGCCTCCCAGAGTAATCTCTACCTTACATACCCGTCTCCTGCTCTCTCCTATGGGACAGTGCTTTGCTCTCTCCTCCAGCTCTGCTTCACCCCTACTTGATATTTCTTGTCCTAATGTTTCTAATACCCCACCT